GACATAGAGGCAATCAGTTGGATTTTTGGTGGTGCTGAGATGGAAAAGATAGCAGGAAGAAGCAAATTCAGAGTTTTGTTTTGGACTTGCTAAACTGAGATGCCTGTTAGCTGTCTTAGCCAATATGTCAAGAAGGCAGAAGAAGTTAGGGTTAAGGTTTAGCTTTGAAGTTCAGGGGAGAAGTCATTGATTAAATGATATTACAGTTCATATGGAAGAATAAATGTCTGAATACAATGCACTCTAAGATGATTCTTATAATACTGAAGGGTGATATGCTTTATGATACATTGAAATATTCCGTATAGCCCCTGAAATCAAATCAAGATGGCATTGCTGTAGGAAAAGATAATCACTCAGTGGAAAAGTGTATATTCAAATAAGTGTATTTCAATCAATATGAAAATGTAATAAATGCCAAATATTGAAGTTAAACTCATTGGGAAAAGAATGGAATGTTCCATAAATTATGTTGGTGTGACTGGCTATCCAGCTGGAAGAAAATAAAATTAGTCTCCTATCTTACACATTTCACAAAAATAAACACCAGATGGATTAAATATTTAAATGTTGAAAAAGAAATAATAAAAGTTCTTGCAATAAGTCTAAGGTGCTGTGTATACAATTTAGAAATGGGGAGACCTTACAAAGACTAGAACTCCAGAAGCTATGCAAGAAAGAAATATTTGAATATGTAAAAATAAAATCTTTTCTATGGCAAAGATTCCATTTAAAATTATAAAGGACAAACAATGTTTTTGAAAATTTATAATCAGATGACAAAGAAATGACCCAATTTTTTTAAATGAGCAAAGGATAAAAAAATACAATTCACAGGGTGGCAAATGCACAGGCTAAGAAGCTATGAAGAAACGTACAAATCGGTGAGTAGTCAGGGATACACAAAGTAAAGCAACACTTTCGTATTATCTGAATCCCTTTAGACTGCAAAAAGTTAATGAGTGATAATACTTATTGCTGGTAGGGACTTATTTTTGGCAGAAATATGAATTATTTTAGTCATTTTTGGAAGGAATCTGGCCACATCTATTAAAATGAAAAATGTATATATCCTTCAATGCAGCGCTCTTTTTCCTGGGAATCTATCCCATAGAAATAAAAGAACTAGTGCATGATGATTTATATATAAAGATGCTATTACAGCCTGTTTTTAGTGGCCAAAAGCTGGAAATAAAAATGAATGCCCTTCAAAGGGAAAAGGCTGAGTAAAATGTGCTCCCTTCATACAATGGAATAAAATGTATGAAAGACTGAATCAGAGGTAACCAGTTTACTTTGATTCCCACAAGGTATTGATGAGAAAGACAAAATATAGAGCTCCTGTAATATGGTGTCATTTCTAAACTAATGATGGCAAACTATTTCTGTGTATGTTTTATATGTCTTTGAGTGTTTTTATGCTTATGTCTGATTTTAAGAGCATAAAAATTAGAGAAGAAATACTAGGTTAGAAGAAAAATACTAGGTTAACATTGGTTCATTCAGGAGGAGAGTGATATAAATGGAGGGGAGACCTATGCAAACAAGTGAAATAAAACAAGCAAAATAAAAAATCTCCAATCTTCTCACTTTAAAAATTATTACTCCTTATTCTTGAGAAGTCTAACCCCCATGAAGAGTCAGATTCAAAAGCAATAGTGATTCCTGCCCCCTCATAATCATGTGTGTTTGAAGGCACGCTTCATTGTCTGTAATTCCAGCCTTTTCAATAGAAGCTAGATAATAAATAGTTTCTGGTCTTCAGGCAGAGAATATTTTGGAACAACATGTTGACATGTTGATTACTTTAGAAAATATATGTTTACACCCAGTCACCAGATAAACGTACCTATTCATTCAAATATCTGTCACTATTCCATCAATTACCACTTACCTTGATCATCCCAAATTGTAGATAATTGAGTGGGGATTGGGGTGTGTGTGTGGGAGAAATGGACTCAAAACATTATAAAGAACACAATGGGCTCAGGCAATTGAATACAAAATCGGAAACATGTTGGTCTCCAAAAATGAATTTGAAAATTGGGAATGATTTAGCCCAACCCATCTGGGATACTGACAAGCAAACCCTCATTGATGACTGGTCTGCTTATCAGCTGACACTCATGGATATAACTGAAGCAAAGGTTTCATGAAACAACGATGCTTGTAGCATAGTTTGACATTAACTATATTCTATCAAAAAAGTGCTGGTCATAACCCACTGATGGATCACAACTGCAGTTTGAAAAACACTGTCCCAGCACCACATCAGTGCATTGTTGTTAGACCTATTTTAGCTTTGTGAACTTCTAAATCATATTTTTACCCTTTGTTACTTGTTAAAATTCTAAGATGCTACGTCTGTCTAATGTGCTACATCTGTCTAAGAGGACATCATCTTTCCAGCCGTCTACCTGCACATTTCCTTGGAGTTTGGAATTAGAAAAAGGGCAGTCATTCCCTCTAAGGGGGCAAGCTTGAACACACGAGTGTTTCCCAACTTATGCATTAATTTGTTGTGGACTTGCTGATTGGTCTTTAACTACCACAAAACCTTCTTTTCTCTCTTCTAGTATCTTTCTCTTATCTCAGGCTAATTCAATTTTATTCAGTCAACTAAATGATATAAAATTAGAGATACCAGAAAGAACAAAGAAAAACCTTTTCTACCCAGAAGCAACTAATGTGTTCGGAGAAGAAACGAACAGGTGTACTAGAACGAGATGCTGAAGAGGAACATAGAAGGTACTCAGGCAGCAGAGAAAGGTGGGTCTAACTGACAAGGGGTGGAGATGGTTTCTCAGAAGTGGTGTATTTGGGAAACAAAATACCTAACTTTGCCTGGGGTGAGAGAGAGCATTCCTGGAAGGCGGAGCAGCATGCACCAAGACATGGAGGTGGGGAGAACACGTCTTTACATCTGGCTGCAGTTCTAGGAGAGTGACGGGAAATGAATGAGCTGAAGGGAGAACTGGCTGGAGAATTGGGCCCACTCTGCACACATAGATTATAGAAAGCCACCCATGTGACTCCCTTCTCTCCTGCACTCTCTGGGAGGCAGCAATCAGGGGTAGGTTTAGATTTCAGGGTCCCAGTCTTCTTTCTGCTAGACCATAGCCTACCTAAAGTTTGGGATTGTCTTATTATCTTAATCCCCAGTGCCTGGTACAGGGCCTGGCATGGACTCAGTGGACATTCAGAGGACTACCAGACTATTAGTTCAGCTGTGTAGCCCAGCACTTGCCAGGCAGCTGAAACTCATGTCCAGGCTGTGCTCTGATCTTCAAGAGGAATGGAAAGGAATCGCGGCATGTTGGGAATGACTGAAACCAAATACTCTCTTTTATTAAGACTGTTGTTCAAAACTCTCTTTTCCCAGAAAGATATTGCAAATGAATTAATGACTTCAAATTATTCTCATCCTCCCCCCAGATCCTAAAGATAATGAAGAGAGAAACATGAATAAAAAACAGAAGTATAAAAATAATTGTCTCACTAGCTACCACTGCTCAGTAAGACATTTAGGCTTATGAGTATTTTTAATACTATCTTATAAGTGTGAAAATTATCAAAGAAATAATACAAGTAAATTGAAATATAAAGGGAGATTTCTTTGAGCTTATTCTGGTTCATCCCTCTCATTGTAGAGTTGAAGAAAGTAGAGCCTAGATAACTTTATGTGAGTTACCCCAAACAATTTTATATCAACCAAAGATATAAATAGAAATCAACCAGAGAATTGAAATCAGCCAAAAAGCTATTACTCAGAGTGACTTACCTGGCTTGGTATGCATCCCAAGTGTGTATGTATATTCCCATAATAAAATTTGTATCATACTGTTTATATTTTTGTACCTTGCCTTTTTCACTCAGTGTATTTTGAGGTTTCCTCCATATATTTATTACTTAAATATTCAAATATTTAATAACTATTATAATATTACATAATATTGTAATATCTCATTGAAAGGATATACTACAATTTGATCTCTTTCCTGGTTGTTTTGAGTTGTCATTATTATAATTGAAAACCTTTGCATATAAATCATAGTTTCTCTCTGTTTCTAAGGGGGAGAACTACAAGTTTGGCCAAAGGGGATGGACACAGTTAAGGTTTCTGATACATACTGCCAAGCTGACCAGGCCAGAAAAGTTGTGTCAATTTGCCATAAGCAAAATGTTTCATATATTTTCTGGCATCTTAGCAAACGTGCACCTAATGAGTCAGTTATTCCAGTTAACTTGGAGTTCACATTTGCCCTAATTTTAATCATTTAAAGAATACTACTAATTATGATGCAACCACCAGTTTAAGAAGTCAAAGGGTCTTATCCTCAACTTGTAAATGAATTTGTAAGAGCTAAGGGAAAAATAAGCATGTGATGAAATAGTCAAGGATCAAATGAGAAATGTCCAGGAGTTTTCCTGTAGGGGTCACTGTTACTGTCAATTTATGCCTTCAAGAAAACTAATAGTCATGCATTTAAAACTGTATGCACTTTCATTTTTAATACCTGATTCATTTACATTCCCTATGTGGTAAAATAAATAATGAGACCTTTCAGCCAGATAGCATCATAATGCCAAGTTCTTTATATAATGATACATATCACTCTCTCCACTCAATGTGCTTCTTAGTTTGAATTGACTAAGTATATGCTACTTGTATGAAAGGCACTTATGCCGGCTCTTAACAGAGGATGTATTACGTTAGCTAATTGCCTAACGTCATAAGGTGTTTACATGGCATATGCTGAATTGAAGGAGAAAACACGTTCATTGCTGTGGATAGTAGAAGGCCCTCCCTCCACCTTCCCTTTCCTGCCATTTCTGTGGACCTCTGCGCTCTGCCTCAAAATCTACAAAGACAAAACCAGACCCTGTAATACTCAATCTATAGCGCCACTTGAGTACCAAGAGATGCTTTTTAATTTTTAAGTTTTTATTAACGCAGCTCAAATGTGATCTCAACCTCCAGAAACAGGACGATGTGGCTGTGCAGACACCCCTTTGCAAGGCGGCTGTCAAAGCTTCAGGTCTGGGACTGGGAACAGGCAGGCGCTGCTGGACGCGTCTGTCCTCTCTACAAACCAGGAACCTTTCCCGTCATAAAATGCAAAGTAGCCAGCCGTTTTGCATTACCCCCATCCCCAGCCCTCCTGGTCAGGTGGTGTGGGAGGGGTCCAGGAGAATATTTACCCTCTGCTCTGGCCTTTGCATTTAACTGAACCCTGTGGCAGCTGCTTCTCTGAGCACAGCCCCCGTGGGCTCCGGCCCAGCCGCACCCCTCAGGCTGACTGCCGAGCTGACCAAGAGCTGTGTCCAAGCCCAGGCTGGGCTGGAGCGCCCCGGAAGCTGAAGAAGCCGGTCTAGGAAACCAGGAGTGTGTGTGGTGGTGAGTCTGGTGTGTGAGCATCCACTTCAAATCGGGGTGGCGAGCTCAGCGCCGGCAACCGACGCTTGGCTCGCTTGAACTCTTTCAGCGGAGGAGTTGCGGCTGCTTGTTGGTGGAACTCATTCACCTGTAGGAACCCGAATCTGGGCAGGGAGGAGGGCCCGGCGGCCAGAGCACTCTAGCTAACGCAGCCTCTGCAGGCAGCCCTCCCGGTGCCATGTCGGGTTGCCACCAGCAGGGAAGCAAGTGTCGGGGCTGCTCCCGGAAACTCTAGGCCTCCGGGCTCCACTCCCCAGTTCTCTGCTTGTGCCTTTCGCCCCCAAGCGCCATCAACTTGGCGTGCCTCGAAGGCCAACTTGGGCAGACGCCAGGGCTGCAGGTTCGAGACGCTCCGCCTCCTTCTGCCACTTGCAGCCGCTAGCGCCAGCAGGAACCTTTCCACTCATTCCTAGTCTGCAGTCACTTTCGGAACTTTGCTGGCTAGTCAGGTCCTCTGCCTCCAACCGCTTGCCTGGGACATCCCCGGGGCCGGGCGATCCGTTCTTTCCCGATAGAACGGACGCCCCAACTTTTCACGCGCGGTCTCTGCTCGCTGCCCGGTGTCCCGTTCCTGCGCCAAGGGGCGCGCGCGTCTTCTGGGGTCCGGCAACGCTCCCAACCTCTCAGCTCAACACTCCTCCTCCCCGCAGCGAGTGTGGGGCTGGCTGAGCCCGGATCACTTGAGCGTTCCCAGCGCTCCGAATTCGCCCCCGCCTCGGAACCGACCCTCGAGGAGGGACTAAGTCCCGGACGTGCAGGCCTCTTACTCCCAAACTCAAGTCAGCTCCAGTCTTTTCTCCCTGAACCCGGTGCGGGTCGCGGGTCTGCCAGGCGGGCGGCGGGCGGAGGATCGCGGCGCTTGGGGACCTGTCGCCCCGTCGGGTGCCATGGCCGGCTGCTGCTGCCTGTCCGCGGAGGAGAAGGAGTCCCAGCGCATCAGCGCCGAGATCGAGCGGCAGCTTCGCCGGGACAAGAAGGACGCCCGCCGCGAGTTCAAGCTGCTGCTGCTGGGTGAGTGGCTGCGTCTGCTCGAGTCCTGCGCGCCGGGCTTTTCTCCCGGCCGCTTCCCTTACCCGGATTCCCTCCGGGCCTGTAGCCTAGCCGGGTGCAGCGCGGCTTTTCCCCTTCTACCCCGGGGGGCTGGCCGGTGCCGGAAACTTGGGGCCTTAGGCGCTTGTCCTTTGCACCAATATCTTGTGACTTTTGAAGGCACCCCATTCCCATCCCCAAAACAGGGTTTAGACGAAACATTCGATCTTTGCTATTCCCCATGTGCTGTGATCCGCCTGTCCCCTAAAGCTACACCTGCACCACCCCTTCACCTTCACCCTTCGCGTGCACAGCTTATGCCGGACCCCACTTTGGATGTTGTGGGTTGGGGAGCAGGCCAGTCCACATCTTGGGTTCAGCCCCTGTGCTCCCAGTTCTGAGTAAGTACCCTTGGCTGAGTGCTTACCAAGTGTGAGACTGTGTTAAGTTCTTACGGGCATGAACAGCTCTGTGATGCGGGCAGGTAACCTCCCCATTTTAAAGGATTGAAAGCGGAAGATTGGGAAATCGTCAAACTTGCTTTGACTGAGAAAAGGCAAGTCGTGGGGGGGAATCCAAGCCCTAGTCACCCGACCCACTGTGACTGCGCCGCCTGCCTCCGGCGCCCCTTTGGTGAGTGGCCCGAATGTGCCTTGCTCAGGTGACTCAACGTGAGTGCGCTCTAAGAGTGGGGACTTGGCAGCCGCATCTTCCTTGCCTAGTTCTCATCCAGCCCTTTTGGTCTCTGCACCAGTCTATGTAGGAGACCCACTTACAAAAACAAAGAAAACATTAATGTTGGCCCAATTCTTGCTTACTGACTTACTGGACATTTTTTTGCTTCTCACTTGCTGGACTCCTGTTCAATTCATTTACTGTTTATGGAGTATTTTACCTTCTTGGAGACCAAGATGTCAGATGCAGTCAAATCTTTTTAGATAGCTCCAAGTATTTCAACTTTGTTCTTTCATCCCCTCCAGGCAGGAATCCTCTCATACTACTAGATTCATCTTTACATAAGGAGTCACCCTCCCAGACAGCTTCGAGGAAAGAAAAGTTGATCTAGTTAGATTAAAATAGAGAATACTTTTAGTCGGTATTGCCTTCAGACCTGGGCAAGGGAACCCCAGAGCGCTTACTCCCAGAGATTAGAGGGCAGGGTCTGGCCTTCCAGGCTGTGCTCCTCCCCACTGGGCAGGGTGTCTGTCTTCAGGTGGAGCCAGCTGCCCCCCCCACGCCCCCAACTCCAGACACCGATTGAATTCCCAGCCCAAAGGCTCAAACCTGCTTCCAGGGCCTGTGGATATAGTAGGGGCAGACCCCATCCCTGAGGAGTGCCCAAAGAAGCAGCTGGCTGGGGTTGTGGAAATGTGGGCTGAGGGTCTACAAGGTGTGCCCAGGAGGCCACCCTGGGGAGAGATAGAGCTTGGGGTGGGGAGAGAAAGGGATTCTGTCCACTGGCCAGGTCTGCTCTTTCACGTCTGGCCCAGAACTCTGAGGGGTGTGAGAATTCTGTATTGTACCTGGTCCTCAGGTTGTTTTAAATCTACATTTGTCAAGGTGTAGGAGGATTATATGGCAGTTTGCTACCTTGATGAACACTTCAATGATGTGGGCCTCCATTTGTCCTCTTGCCTCAATGATAGGGGTGCGCCTGGCTTTAGTTGCATTCTTCTTGCTTTCAAGGTCAGGCTGAACCCTCTTTCATTTTGAAATATTTTGATTTGTATCAGTGTATAAAGTACAGTGTCTGGAATATACCAGGAACCTGACAAATGTTGACTCTTTGTAGGAAAAATTAAGCAGTAAGTCAGACCATATTGTAATGGTAATAAGCCTGTTTGTTTGGAGTCAGATGCTTGCATTTACACTCCAACTAGGGGAGGAATGTTTGCAGGTGAATTATTTGCCCTGTAAGTCATATTTAATACTGGTGACTAGAATTCTTCATCACCTCTGGGCTGTTGCCCCAACCCTCTTTCTGTACCCTCAATGCACTGCTAGACCTCCCAGGATCCCCATTTTCATTGTACCTACCTGAGACTAGCAGAAAGTCTAAGAGCTAGTCACTTAGAAACTACTAGAAATAGTTTCCAAACTACATGGAGCTGTCTAGAACCCCAAGGATGGACATTAAAACCTCTCTCTGTCTTTGTCTCTCTCAAAGAGAGCAGCGTACACTTCCATTTCTTAAGATAAAGGAGAAGGCAATGACTTAAAAGGTACAGGACTGTATATACTGTTTTTGAAGTAATGCGGTTTGGATGAAAAATTCATCTGAGTCTCTAGAATGGGTGGATTAAATGATGCACTGCTCAGATGCCTTAGGTAAAAATAACTGCTCTGCAAATGGGTATTTATGATCCTGCGTGGAAGTGGAATGGCCTGAAAAGCTACCAAGTCTTTCACAAGGAAATACCCTTTTGTAATAAAATGATTTGAGGATGTTTCCAAAGTGTATTCAATGGGGCAGTACGCTGTTTGCACTTAATAAAAGTATGGGTCCATAAGGAAAGGTAAAAGCTGTTGTCTGGTTAGGGCTAGCAATTACAAGATGTCAGCTTGATGCTTTCTCAGCGGAAGGAGATGAGGGAGATAAGGCAGATGGTTGAATTTAGTAAAAGAAATAACTTATCAGATAAAAGTAGGACAAAAAGGAGTTGTGATAACCCTGGTGAGTATTCCGTGTAGGAAGAAAGTATTTGGACAATAGCAATTAAATGACAAAAAATGTGATCTTTTATTGATATTTTTCTTTTTCTAAGTATTAAATGAGGCTTGGTGAAGTGTTACTTGTTGATTGGGCTGTGTCTCCAGCAACTCTGATGGCTTGATTTTGGATGCAGACCTCATGTTGGAACTTTCTGGAAGAAATGTTTAGTGGGGAATTGGTATCTAACTTATTCTGGCATAGGGGTTAGAAATGGAGGTTCTGGGCCAGACTGCCTGGATTCAAACCTTGACCCTACCCTTTCTTAGCTGTGGACTAACTTCTCTCAGCTTTGTCTGGCAGTAGTAAATGTCAGCTATCATCACGTGATTTGAGCTTTTTAAAAAGCCTCCAGTGAGGCATCACTTGCCATTAGTGGATGTATTATAGGCTGCACAGAAGTTTATCTAAATTGTCCTGGTTGCACTTCATCAGACATGTTTTGCTTTGAAGTTCCCTTATTGTTTTCTGAGTCATAAACTGATTTCAAAGTCTCTCTGCCTACTTATACCAGAGTTGAAAATCTGAGTACTGCAAAGTTTTATTGCATTGCCTATAACAAAATCCCAGTTTAGGACTATCTATCACAGTCCTGGGCTGGAAGTCTGTTAGAAGACATGGTGCAGGTATAGGTCTCAGAAGCCACAGAATTTTCTGACTCTCTGAAGGGAAAAAGGGTGAAATGGTCATAAGTAAGCCCATGTTCTTTCCTCTTTGCTTAGTTCAGTCGAACAGACCTTTCTGAAGTGCCAGGGATCATTTCCAAGTGCCAAACTGGAGGTGCTTGTGCACAAGCAGCTGTTACCAGGAAGAGGGTCATAAATGCTTAATAGAGACTAAAAAGTAGCACAGGGGAGCAGGAAGGGGGAGCTTCTGAAGGAGGGATTGTCTGAGTTGGGCCTTGAAAAGTGGGGAGGGTGGGACTCTAACGCCATCCACGTGAGAGGTTTGCGCAGGACACACACCAACTTCTCCCCACAGACCAACAGAAACTTCTGAGGACAGTAAGAGGTGGTCTTAAGCTCAGGGATAAAATAAAGGAGCTCTCAGTGGCAAGATTTCATTGAGTTTTTGTGCTTTAACCATTTATGTTAAACATAAACAGATGTTAATGTACACATGCTTCATTTTTGGGCCATAGTACCCCTTCAGAATGGGAGACTGACTTTCCATGGCTTATGTCCATCCTGGCTGGAATAAACTGACCTTGCCAGATAGCCTGCTTCCATCCATGATGCAGTCCCTGGAGGCCTCTCAAGAGGCAAATGCAAGGAGTCCCTGTACTTTCTTCCCATAAGCAAATACAGAACCTCTACTAAAAAATGGACTTTTGTCCTTTATGTTTTCTCAAACAAGCTTAATGAGGTATAATTTACATTCAATAAAGCCACCAGTTTTAATTGTACAATTCAGTGTGTTTTGACAAATGTGAACAGTTGTGTAAGCATTAGCAGAGTCATGATATACCATCCTCCCAAAAAGTTTCCTGTGTCACTCTGCAGTCAATCTACTCCCTTCAAATCATTGACAAAATCATTCTAATTGGAAACAAATAAAAATGTACAAAAAGCATGCAGGTATACACCCTTTACCCAAGGGACCTATTGAAATCTTGCCCTATTTTCTTATTTGCGTGTTCTCTTCAGTTCTTCTGAAATGTTTCAGGGTAAGATACAGCCATCAAGGCCTTTACCTCTAATTCAGTGTGTTTTTTCCTAAAAATGGATAATCTCTTATATAAGCACAGTCAATTTACAAAGCTTCTGTAAACTTTGATACACTACTTGTGTCCAATCTATCACCTGTATCCCATTTTCATCATTTGGCCCAATAATGTCCTTAGTGGCATTGCCTGCACCTCCAGGACAAGGTATGCTCAGCTATTACATTTAGTTCTCCTATTTTTTTCAGTTTCCTTAAATCTGGAACATTTCCATAGACTCTGACTACTTTTGTGACACTGAGATTTTGGAGAATAAAGTCCCCTCTCCCTTTTTTTCGGAGAGAATATTCCTCATCTGGGGCTTATCTGATTTTCTTTTAGAAATTCCAACTATATGTTCTTGGCCGGACCTCTGGATAGGTGATCTTTATGTCCTCGTCAGGGAGTCACTGCTGGAACTATACCATATCTGTCTGTCCCTCATTGGCGATGTTAAACTTGATCACCTGGTCAATATGTTACTTGTTCTCACCACTGTCTAGCAATTGTGTGGTGAGGAACTTTTTGAGACCATACAAATATCCTACTCCTCACTGAAGTGTCTTTCAA